GTCTGAGCCATCCAGTTTAACAAGGAAATGCCATGTGTCTTTACTGCTATCTTTTCCACCACACTGCCCTTTGGAGTTTTTTGAGACAGGGTCTTGCTCTGTAGCCTGGTGAGTCTCACATGACAATCCTTCAGCCTCTGCCTCCCAAGCACTGAGATTACAGGTGTGAGCTACCAGCCACCAGCCACAACTAGGACCTCTCACGATCAAGCAAGTACTCTAACAATGGGCTATCTCTGGTCACTTCCTCTACCTGTGGTTTTTCTGGCCTCAGGAAGATGCTTGAGGATAGAGGGCAGCATACTGCTCCATGAGATGTTTGCTAGGGGTTGTGACTATCCTCCTCACACACAAGGACCACAGAGGGCAGATACGGCTCCTCATAACAGTGCTTTCACTTGCTCTGCTTTTCTGGGTCCTTCTCCTTTAAGATCTGATGCTGTTGGAAAGCAACTCATTGTAGACACTGAAACACCAACCAGCTGTGTTTGTTATTCCAGATGTCAGTGCCAACACTGAGGTTCCCAAGGAGGTCAGTGACAACACTGGGGTTCCCAAGGAGGTCAGAGCAGCCATCCATGTCCAGCAGGACCTTCCTGGGATTGGTTTCTCCTCCCTACTGATGCCTGCCAGGGACATGGCGGTTAGAAGGAGTACAGAGCTGTCTTGTACTTGACAGTAGGTGTACACCTGTCTGCACTGTGTCTTCCCAGACCCACATGACCAGGAGCACAGTGATGAGTCCAGAGTCTGCCAATCTCAGTTGGCTGGGAACTCAGCCGGAAGCGCTCCTGCAGTGAAACTTCAGCAGGCGGTAGATACAGGCTTCCAGAAGCAGAGCCTCACAGATGGCCTCCAGACCTATGCCTGGCTTCTGATACCAGCAAGTGACAGAAGAATCCATGATGTCACCTGATGCAGGGAACAAAGCTTGGCACAGTTCCATAGCAGCCCACAGCCAGGGCCAGCTGGAGACTGTCAGCATCCTGCCTCCTCGGCCCCACCAGTTCCCGAGGTACTTGCAGCATAGACAAAACCTGGTGGTACTTGCCTCCAGCAGCAGGCTACTCCAGGAGCTCCTTCACAGGGCAATAGCATCTGCCTCCTGTCTCTAGGCCATCCTCAGTCTGCACTTTAACATCACCCAGTTTTGGATTTCTATTCATCCTGAGAGAGAAGCAAAATGCTGAGTTCCTGGCTGTAGTCTCTCTGAGGGTCCATTCCATGTTTGAGCAACCTTATTTCCAGGATTTATATTTCTTTAGGTTTTTGATTACTTCAGAAAACTGAGTTGTGATAAATGGTTTATTATTATTATTATTATTATTATTATTACTATTATCACTCTGACTGAATGAGAGACTGCTATTTTACATGACCTATTAACTCCTGGCTGGCCTGGGATTTGGTATGTAGACTGGGCTAGCCTGGAAACTCTGCTCCTTGCTGTACCCTTTTGATGTTTCTTGGAAGTCAAAGTTCTAAATTCAGTCTTTTTGACCTTGAGATAATTTTGGAATTTTTCACGAACTTCCCCTCCCTACGTTCTCTAAAACTCGTAAATAAAATCTCTAAACTGGGGTGATGGCTCAGTGGGTAAAGTACTTGTAAGAAGCCCAGCAGTGGCATGTACCTATAATCTGGAGCTGGAGGCTCGAGAGAGGCTGGCCAGCCATTCTAGTAAATGAGCATGTATGGAGGCCATCAGGTGTCCTGCTCTGCCCACATCCTCTCCCCTAGTCCTTTGAAGTAGGCTCTCTCACTGACCCAGCAGCTAGGCTGGTGACCAGCAGACTCAGCAATCCTTCTGTTTCTTTGCCCCTCCCCCTGCTGCTGGAATTACAGGAGCATGTGACCGTGCCTGGGTTTTTACGTGAGTGTTGGGGATTTGAACTTACGTCCTCATGCTTGGACAGCAAGCATTCTTCATTGCAAAGACATCCTCCCAGTCTTTAGATCTTCTTTCCCTTATGTTGAATGGACTATGTTGAGAGGAATGTTCAAAGCCATATAGAATATTTAAAATTGTGTCGTCATAATTCTTATGTTAAGGGATGTGTATGGCACAGACATGATGTACCTATTAAATACCTATTAAAACAAACCTTAAATCTTGTCTTTCATAGATCCCTCCTTCCTGGATTTTTATTTAATTTATGTAAGTCAACATTATGCTGCTCCCCACCAGTATTACGTACACACATCCATATGTGTGTTAGGCCTGGTGTTAGGCTTTCAATCTCAGCACTCAGGAGGCAGACAACAGCAGATTTCTATGAGTCTACTCTATATAGTGAGTTTTAAATCAGCCAGAGCAACATAGAAAGACCCTTTCTCAGAAAAAAAAAAAAATCAAAATCCAAAATCCAATAGCTCTTGCTTACTCTCTGTATATTTCAGATTAAGACTCTAAGATTTATGTATAAGTGTCTTGCCTGCATGTATACCTGTGTACCATGTGCATGCTTAATGGCTGAGGTCAGAAGTCAGATCCTCTGGAACTGGAGTTACAGATGATTGTGGGCCGTATGTGTGCTGGGAACCAAACCCAGGTCCTCTGCTAGAGCAGTCAGTGGTCTCAACCACTGAGCCATCTCTCCAGCCCCAGACATTTCATTTCTTTCATATTTAAACTTGTATTATTGTTTTGAATGTACATATAGTCTTTGTGTGCCACAGGAAGCCAGCGGAAACCCTGCCATGGTTGCACTTCTACTGTGTAGACTGGGAGGTGGCATTCAGGTCATCAGGCTTGTGAAGCATTTTTACCTGTTGAGCCATTATGACCCTTTTAACCATATGCTGAGTCCCCACTCTCCTACCCCCTACCCCCTTGAGAGGCGTGAGGTCAGCTGTCGGAACAGTGGTCCTTACCTGCTGATGCGGGAAATACAGGCTTGCTCTCTGTCTAGCTCCATCAGAGTCCTTCCGCATGCTCCGAACACTCATGGGGGGGGGGGTCCTAACGTTCAGAACCTGCTCCCAGCTAAGGTAGACGAACCACGAGCCTCTAGCAGGACACAGTAACATTGCCTTCAAGATTCCTGAAGACAAATGATGCCTCCATTTCTCACAGGAGTGAATATTCTGATTCAGATGCCTTGGACTGCAGGTAAGACTGACTGACCACTCACCGTTTGCCTTCTCTTTTTGTTGTTTTGTTCTTTTGAGACAGGGTCTTATATACTCCTTGGCTGGCCTTGAACTTGAATTGATCCTTCTGCCCCTACCTTCTAAACGTTGGGACTATAGTATGCACTACCACACTCAGCTGTCTACCTCTTAGCTGTTCCTTCTGAAGACAATGGCAAGCTGTGACTTTTCTGCCACCAAACTAAAGGTGTATCTTTATTTACGTATGACTGCAGGGGTCTGTTCTCTCCTTCTACCAAGTGGGATCTGGAGACCAAACTCAGTCACCTGGCTTGCACTTCAGCGGCTGAGCCACCGTACTAGAGCTTGGTCATGTTGTATTCACATCTTAGGCATGGAAAGGCCTGAGGTTTGAGGACACAGAGAGAACACAGGATGTACTATCGTCTAATGAAAGCAATGGTGTATTCCCACGAGTGTAGCTGTGTCGCAATCCCTGTCCTTTCCTCCCCCCTCTCCTGGAGAGTCTATGTATCCTTGGCTGCTCTGGAACTCGTGTACACCAGGCTGAGCTGGAACTCAGAGATCCACCTGTTTTGCCTCCTTAGAGTTGGGATTAAAGGTTTAACGTGGTGACAATTTTGAAGTTTTGCTTTCTTAAACACATACACACACACACACACATATGATGAGAATGTTTTTGTTTTAATCCCAGGTGTAGGATACGGAGCTGCTTCGGACTGTCCACAGCAGCTGACTATGATTTCCCTCGTGGTCTAGCAGGGGTGTGATTTTGCCAGCTGCAGACAGTTTCTGCCATAGTATAACATTTGAAAAACCTGGGGACTTTTCAGAGTATATAAATGCTAGGGCCCCGAGGGGCAGGGTTGGTTGTTGGTTGCTATTGATTGAAGTTTGTTAAGTATTTATACCCATAGAAGAATCAAGAAGAAATTAGATATCCTGATGGCAAAGATCAAACTTACCCAATGAACTTGATGCCCCTAAACCCACAAAGTAGCAAAAAAAACCAATAACAGTGAATATGCTACACACCTGGTGGGGTTTTGTTATTGTTGTTTTTGTGTTCAGGGATGGATCTCAGGGCTTTGGGCATGCTGAACACACATATACTCTCTATCATGGAGGCCTAATAATTTAAAAAGATAATCCCCTAGTATATGAAATATTTGCATTATACTAGAACACATTTTTATAAGATTATAACTGAGTTTAAAAGTATTTACATTAGTAAATATTTTCTGAAAAAAATTTAAAAACCCAGAGTATTACAAAAAAAATTAAAAAAAAAAAAACCTTAAGAATGTCACCATCACTCAGCAGTGTGGAGGACAGGTACCAGAATCTTCAGGCCATAATCCCAGCACAGGTGCCCTTAATAGACAGCAGCACTGGATTTGCATATGAACCAGTGCACCCAGTGCACACACTTTAGATCATCTCTAGGTCAGGCACTTTTTTTTTTTTTTTAAAGACAAGGACTCATTATGTAGCTTAGGCTAGCCTTGAACCCAAAGTTCTTGGCTCAACTTCCTGAGTGTACAGGTGTGTACCATGCCCAACTTTTTGGGTTATTTAGAATACAGACTGCTAATAGATGTAATTTCATTTAGGAGTTGACAAGAGGAAGTAGTCTGTGTGTTTGGTACGACTGCAATTTTTTTTTTCAAACGTTTGGTCTATGGCTGCTGAGCTGACAATCCATAATACAGAACCACAGATAGCAGTTGTAAACGGATTGGGTGTTGCACCTTTAAAGGTATGCTCTGCTGTAACACACGTTGCCTTGTTATCAGCAGAGCCTTACACTTCAAAGTGTCTTGGCATCTATTAACCAGCACCCAGGTTTTCACACCCCAGTGTTTCTTGGAAGAAAACAAGCACCGTTAGGTCACGCATTCTTTATTCGTTTGACAAATACAGGAAAATCTCCAATCATCTATCAAAATTATAGCTTCCCAAGAGTTTGAAAGGTATTTATTTAAAAAGTTGTATTCACAGTCTGTTATGTACAAAGTAGTACCCATGGTAGAAGCCAGGCCGTGGCCATGTGAGAGTAAATGATGCCTCAGAAGCCCTCACCCTGGCACTTGCCAGTCTGCAGCAGCCTTCAACAAGTATGTATTTGAATAGAAGTGCGTCAGGGAAATCCTTCCTGCTGGGCAGACATGTGCACACACTACACTCCAGGGCCCAAAGGGACACTGCATCCACAAGAGGCACAATGCTGCCCCGAGCTCCTGTAAACGGCGTTGACAGTCAAGAAAGGGTACAGTTCAGCACCAGGGTGTGCTTTGCAAAATGCAGACTGGGGGTTTCTAGCAGTCGAGGAGACTGACAAGGTGCGGAAGAGCCTGAGATGGGACAGCCCAGGGGTATCTAGCTGGTACTATCACAGAGGGCTGCAAAGAACTAAAACCAGTGCTTTTCCTTTGGTGTGTATTTGTAGAACTGCCAGGTTTGGAGAAAGACGCAAGCAGACTCCAGGTGTGCTTTTAGACTCTAACTTATCAAAATATGGCATTACTTCCATCCCAAGGGTGAATGCAAATGTCCAGTTTCCAAGTTGCCTTCAAACTTAGCATTAAGGACCCACAGGGAGTGTGGAGAGGTGGCTCAGGCAGATCTGCACAGACCACCAAAGGCTCATTTAACCAGGGGGGCTGGCTGAAAGGATGGGCTTCTGAAGGAATGAGGTCCCCTTAACAGCATTCACTTTGTAAGCCTCAGTAGTTAAAAGTCAGGATGGGCGGGGTCTGGGGATGTTGCTCAGTTAGTAGAGTGCTTGGCTAGCATGCACACAGCGTCAGGTTTGATCCCCAGCACGGAATAAACTGGTGCATGTGAGTGATCTCACTGGTGCACTTGGGAGGTGGAAGCAGAAAGATCGAAGTTCAAGATCAACCTCAGCTATAGAGTGAGTCTGACAAGAACCTGGGGTTTCTTTCAGAAAGAGAAAGAGGAAAGAACAAGAAATGGAAGGGAAAGGAAGGAAAGAGGAAGGGAAGGAGGCAAGTGAGACTCCTGCACCAAGCCAAGCACTGAACAAATCCTTCAGTTCCTCAGCTTTTCTTCCACGGTTAGATCACAAAGCCTGGCTCCGAGGTCAGAGACAGAGACTCCCGTTTGAAACCTGACCTTGGAAGACCTTATTTGGCAGTGAGTATCAATTTCACATTCAACAAGTTAGGGTCAGGAATAGCCATAGGCCCAGCGAGATGGCTCAGTGGGTAAAAGCATGCACCTCCAAGGCTGAGGATTGGGGTTCAATTCCTGGAACCCACATGATGGGAGGAGAGAGCCACCTGCTGTTAACTGTCCTCTGACCTCATGTAAGTACACGCTCTGCGCAGAGCATGTACACACACACACACACACACACACACACACACACACACACACACGTGTGGCATGATGGTCCACATCTTGTGATCCCCAGTACTTGTCAGGTTAAGGCAGAAGGATCATAAATTTGAGTTCAGCCTGGGCTACACGGGAGACCCTGTCCAATATGCTTCAGACCACAGACAGAACAAGCGGTAAACATACTATTCTCTTGGGCATTTATCACAAAGAGGACACTAAGCTTTCAGTGAAGTTTACAAGCAAAATCACAGACCTCTGCTCCTTTTGTGGTGAAGTCAATCGATTGCTTTTGGCTGTTGTCCTTGCTCACTCGCTCTCTCCTCTCTCTTTTCCTCTTGGAGAAATTTAGTCGTTTGCTGTTAAAGCTGTGTACCTAGGACCCCTTTAATCCAGCAGGATCAAAACCAAGAAGGAGCGTCCTTCCTCTCCAGCCTCTGCCCACAAATGTCCCATGTCCTGTAGGCAGCAGACCCTAAAGCTACTGCTTCCTTCTCACTGTCTTTCCACTAAGCAGGTGCAGTCAGTGGCTTTATCCCAGATGTTGCCTGGCTTGTGGACACTCCTCTCTTGGACTTCAACACCTATACACAAACACAGCCCACGCTCTCTTGTCACCAAACACACGACACACTCGGGACCCTTACACGCACTGCTCTAGCCAAGATCGGCAAAGTGCCTTGAAGGAAAACTTCCAATCTGCTGTCTGCGTGAGAGCAGCAAGGTCTGGGAGGGGCTGGTGAGGTGGCTGGGTTGGTGAGGGGCTCTTGACTGCAGCACACCTGGTGAGTTTGAGACTAGGACCCACGTGGAGACAGCTGACACCACAAGGCTGTCCTTACATATGCATAAAAAAAAAGACAGAACCTTCTACCACAAGCTCCTCTCTTCCCTGCATGGCTCCCTTTTCATCAGCCTGAGATGAGTCTGTCTGGGCTTATATTCTTTAACTATAGCCTGGGAACTGAACACTGCCTTGAGGATTCAGAGTACACCAAGCTCTCCCAAAGAGCTACACCCTCAGCTCCTCTTCTGGGTGTCTTGTATGGTATTGTTCAGGACCTGTCCACCTTGCTCTCTGACACAGGGTTTTTCATTGGCCTAGACCTCGATGAAGCTGGGCTGAGAGGCCAGCAAGCCCAGGGACCCACTTGTCTCCACCTCACCACGGAGAGGACTCCTAGACCAGACTCCTCAGGTTAAATTCTTACTAAAATTATTCCAGGCCAAGTGAAGGATAGCTCACTAGTGGAGCACTTGCTAAGTATGCCCAAAGCCCCAGGCTAGACCAACAGTACTGTTGTGTGACCCAAAAGAAGTATTCTAAATTCTAATGAGACCCCGCAAAGTGGCTCCTAGGATAGGCTGGGTGAGAAAGCAGGCATCCTTGCTTGCGCCACGCTAGTTTTTCAAGTCTTTTCTGCTGGTCTCTTGGTTGAGGCGGCTGCCACAGGCACAGGGACTGCAGCTCAGTAGTCTGTGTGGTCAGCCTAGGGGCCTACAGCACCCACACCCAGCTGTAAGCTCAGCAGAGAGGAGCTGCTCACCTCACACAACGGAGCCCTGCAAGGAGGAGGAGGCCAGAAGCAAGTGAGGCTGCTTCTGAGGTGTGAGGCTTCCCTCACACCTGCCTGTGCAGCTAGCTCACTCTGCCCCATGGCCGTGGGAGGCCGTCTTTCCTCTTGGCAGCTGGTTTAGGTCCTGCATCCAAGTACTTCCACCGCTAACCAAGAAACAGCTTTTCTCCAAACCTTTGTTTCTTTACCAACATAACTGGTTCATGAACTGACCAACTACCAGCACTAGACATTAATTTAAATCCTATGGTTTTATTTATTTATTTTTCCCAATGCTGGGAACTGAGCCAAGGGCAAGACAAGCATTGTATTCTGAGCTATCCCCCAGCCCCTAGTTTAAATTCTGCCCTTGACAGTGAGTGGATTGTGGTAACAAAAGAACAGCCAGGACAGAGAACGCTTCCCCAGCCACTTGTTGCTTTAATTCTTTGGGCACACATCCTATTTGCCATCGAAGGAGCTATGGCAGCACGCTGACAGCACTGATTGATAGGGGACGTAGTATTTGCATCACATGAGGAGAAACTCCTGGGTTATCAGGGCCACTAGCTACCTCCCAGAGCTGCCTTGTCTGCTGTCAGAGGGAACTGCTGAGGGACAAGGGAGAGACAGGGAGAGGGAACATCTGGGCCGAGAGTAAGCTTAAAGTGTGTCTAAAAACGAGGGATTGTGGGAAACCCAGAAGTTATGTAAGGATGACAGGGGACTCTTGAGCAATAGATCCATCATTTCAAGAAAGTATACACTTTGGAAGCTGAGGTTACAACTCTCAGGATAGAGCAACCCCAAATTCGTCCAGACTGGCCTTGGGAAGAAATGGCAACCACAGATAATAGTGTCAGTGCTTGAGAACAAAAATGGTCAAAGTCACGGATGTGACAGGGGCTGGGGTTTGTGTGGGGCGGTGTCCTTATTTAAACTTACAATTGGGCAGCAAAGGAGCCTGAGAGGGAGGCCTGGGCCCAGTGCCACCTCTGCACAGAACCTCCTGAACAGTGCAGGATTCAGCTAGGACCTGTTTTATTTCCAACATGGCATGGAAGATGGCAGCTGTTTGGTTCACATCACTTCATTTAACCTCTTGAGAGTTCCCAGCACTGGTAATTCTCCATGCCCAAGGGTCTGGTAGAGCACAGCAGCTCCTGGGCCCAGCCCATTTCCTTGTCCTTGTCTCTCAAGTCTGCTGGTTTCTACACTGAGGAACGTCATTCACTGCAATGATGGATGTTGGAAACCGTCCTCTGTAGATGCTTCCTTCCACAGTCCAGTAGTGCCGGTGGCTAGGGAAACTTGGAAGGAAGCTGCAAAAGTCCCACTGGAGTCTTGACTTGTTAGCTGAGGACACAGGAAAATCATCCATCTCCTCTGGAGGTTTGTTTTCTGTTTTTGTTTTTTTGATAATCAAAGAAGAAACATCCATGTTCTAACTGCAGAAATGCTAGATATAAAATTGATGGAATGCAAGTTGGTCCATGAAGGGCTGCACAAGATAATCCGTGGCAAAGTAAAAAACGAGCCCAAAGGTGATGGAGATGGGAAGGGCTGGCAATGCTTTCTTGAAAATGGCGAGCAGGAGTAACGTAAGGCACAGGCCCTGTGGAGACAGAGGGCACTCAGGACCATTCCCACGTCACACGGCCATCAGCACCACCTTCAGTGAATACTCCTTGAGGCCTAACTTTTATAACAATATTTCAAGAATTCTTGGAGTCATGAGAGAAAAATGTAGCTTGTGGCCCTGGGCCTGATGGCCACACGGAAGTGACTCAGGAGGCTGAGACAGGACTGTGAGGCAGAAGCCTGAGACCAGCCTGGACAACACAGGGAAAGCTGGGTCAAGAGAGAAGAGGAAAGAGAAGACAGGAGGGGATTCTTTTATATATACACAACCCAGACTGGCTTCAAACTCTGTATCTTTCTCCCTCAGCCTCCTGAGTGCCAGGATGTAAGTGTGCCCTATGATGCCTGGATTAAATAGGAAAACAAAATTTTTTGAGACCAAGATGGCTTCAAATCGCCCATATAGCCAGGAGGACCTTGAACTTCTGGCCCTTCTCCTTCTATCTCCATAGAGCTGGGATGTGCCCCATGCCTATTTTATGTGGCTGGAGACTGAATGCAGGGCTTTGGACTATGCAGGCACTCTCACAACTGAACTGTACACCCCAACTCCAGGCAGCAAGGTGTTATTAGTAAGTCAGATTTTTGCTCTTGAGATAGGATCTCACCATGTAGCCTAGAACTTAACAAGGTTGGCATTGAACTCATAGGTTCACCTGCCTGTGCCTCCAGAACACCAGGATTGAAAGGTGCACGCCAACACACTCAGCTTTCTAAGTCAGTGTTGAAAGCTGCAGCCATCGTAAGCAAGATGGGAACTTGGGCTTATGCACTGGGCTTGCCCCTCTCTCTCCATACCTGCTGTCCCAAAGCAAGCATGTGGCAGGCTTTGCATCAGATGGAAAGCCACTGGTCAGGGCAGTCTCAGTCAGAGTCTTACACTGCTGGACCCTCGAAGCTGTTCAGTTCAGTTCATTTCTTTTCTTTTTTTTCTTTCTGTGTTTTTTTTGTTTTGTGGTTTGTTTTTTTACTGAGACAGGCTTTCTCTGTGTAGTCCTGGTTGTCCTAGAACTCACTCTGTAGACCAGGCTAGCCTTGAACTCAGAAATCTGCCTGCCTCTGCCTCCCAAGTACTGGGATTAAAGTTACGCGCCACCACCACCTGATTCACAGTAGTTTCTAATGAGAAGTACTCAGTTTCCTGGAGAGCGCTTAAGAACTACTCAACTAATTACCCAAGGGTGAGACACAGATGAGCACAGGGCTGAGACCAGCGCTAGTGGAGAACGCAGAAGCACATGGGGTTCCTGTTCGTTTAGCCTCAGCCATATACTTCATAGGAAAGACATAGCTAGGCTGGAAGCACCAGCTGACTTGAACGTGTAGCCAGAGTGGAGAACTACTCAGGCAGGCTCTGAGCATCCATTTTAAAAAGCTTCTCAAGGGACTGGAGTTCTTAGCCTGCCTGAGTCAAAGGGAATCCTCAGGGTAGAAAGATGGCTGGGCAGGTAAAGGCACCCAAGCCTGAGGACCTGAGTGTGGTCCCTGGACCTCATGTAAAAAGCTAGATGGAGCAGGCATGCACCTGTAATCCTAGCATCCCTATGGAGAGACAGGAAGTTAGAATAGGCAGAAGCCACTTGGAGTGCACAGCTCATTGTAAAAACATGGGAGACCCTCCCTCAGGTGGAAAGGAAGACCCAGCTCCCAAAAAGTTGTTCTCTGAGAGACCCTGCCTCAGGTGGGAGGAAAAACGTTGTTCTCTGTCACATGACTGCCACAGAATATGTGTATAAACACACTTAAAAGAAAATTAGCTTAAAGGGATGCAGACAGTTTTTTGACCAATTTTTGCCAGCATGTACTTACGATCAATATGGCTACGAAGCAGGCTATGGTTGTGTTCCAGTCTCCACTGGCAGTTGCTGAGGCCTTACCAACCAGAACACTGTAGAAAATGAAATCTCCCAGTCCAAGTTTTACTCCTCCTAAAAAAAGAAAGATTAAGTTTGTCATTCTTTTCTATGCTTTTTTTTTTTTTTTTTAAGACAAGGTCTTGTTATGTAGCCCAGGCTGGCCTTGAACTTGTGAACTTCTTGCCTCAGCTACTCAAGGCCTAGGACTACAAGTGTGTACCACCACACCTAACTTTGTGATTTCATAATTCAAATATCTGATCCCAAGCTGGGCATGGTGGCATGAACCTGCACTCTGAGCTCCTCAGCTCCTCAGAAGTCTGGGTAGGAGGATAGTTTAAGACCATGAGTGGGATGACTGCCTGGGCAACATGGTGACACTTTGTCAAAACAAAGCCAAGTGAATCAGAAAGCACAGACCCACAGTGAAGGAGAAGTCAATAAATAATATATACAATCCCAGCTTCAGAAAGATAGTCTTCCTTATCTTCTGCTCCTTCTACACCAGGAGTTTTAGATTCTGTGTGACTCTGGACTCCCATACCCTCCTCACCACTGCAGCGCTGCTCAGACTGTCTGCTCACCGTCCTAATGCAGTCTACTCTCTCCCTTTTGTGTACATGTATTAAAAGCGGGGCACCGAGGGTGTGGGTTACGTGTGTACGCAGTGTGCAGAGGCCATATGTTGACGCCTGGTGTCTTCTTGAATCCTTCTCTAGCTTAGTTTTGGAGACAGCACAGCACATGGGAGCTGAACGGATTCAGTTAGACCAGCTGGTCAGCCAGCCCTAGAGACCGTCCTGTCTCGACCTGCCCAGTACTGGGATCACAGGTGTATAAGGCTGTGCTGACCTTCTTTTTTTCTTTTCTTTTTTTTTTTTAAAAAAAAAACTCTAAGTGTTGGAGATTAAACTCAGGCCCTCATACTTGTGTGGCAAACACCTGAATAAGCTATTTCCTCAGAAAAACTCAATGTACTCTGAGAGACAGATAATACTGCCACTTAAAGAAACCCGTGATTTCAGACAGAGATGACGCACGTACTCTCCTCCGGGTCTTCACTAGTTAGGATGCTCCCGGAAAGCTCCTGGACAGCAGCTCTTGACTCGGGAGTAGAGCGATGAGGCCCCAGGTGACTGTCTCTTTGGGCCTCCCATTCTTCACTGAAGCCACCATCATCGTTCCCAGAACCAGAGTCCTGTGTCTCCCTTTCCGCTCCTTTAAGAGAGAAGGTTAATTAGAGGGCTAATCCTTAGATCACTGGCTCCACATTCCAGAGGGCGGAGTCTTGGTTAAGGCAAGCATGGTAACTCTGCCATTCCTTTTCTCCATGTCCGTTCTACAGCAGAGTAACTGCGACCTGGCACTGTCTAGGAGTGTTGACATTTTCTCTTCTATTTCCTCTTTTTAAGGAAGGAAGAAATGGCTTCCATCTTCCCTGTATGTAGTCTGGATATAATGTCTGGCACTGCAACTGTCAGGACCACAAGGAAACAAGGGCTGCGGACAACCCAGTATGTCAAAGGTGGCGGAGCAGGAACCATGAAGAACCCGCACCCTTGTGAACAGCAACAGCAACCAGCTTGTTCAGTCCTCTACCCCCAGAGTTAGGAGAACATTGAGCATACACCTAGTGATCAGTCAGCATTTGTTAACTTACCAAAAATCCATTTTCCCATATAACAAACAATGTGCTGGCTACTACACAACTTGACACAAGCTAGAGTCACCACAGAGGAGGGAACCTCAGCTCAGACAACGCCTCCATCTGATGGAGCTGGAGCTGCAGGCAGCCCGATAGAGCATATTCTTAATTAGTCACTGATGGGGAAAGCCCAGCCCATCGTAGGTGGGCTGGTGGTCCTGGTTCAAGAAATAGGACAGCAGGCTGAGGCAGCCGTGGGGGTAAGCCAGTGAGCAGCACCCCTCTATGGTCCCAGCTCAGCTCCTGCCTCCAGGTCCTTGTCCTGACTTCCTTTGTTGATGAATAGTGATGTGGAAGTGTAAACTGAATAAACCCCTTTCTTCCCAAGTTTCTTTAGCCATGGTGTTGTTTTCACCCCAATAGTAACCCCGATTAAGGCAAACAATCACAACTTTTCTCTTTAGCTTAATGATACTTGGGGCTGGAAAGATGGCTCTTCCAAAGGACTTGGGTTTGGTTCCCAGCACCCCCATGGTGGCTCACAACCACCTAAAGTGCATGGGATCTGATGTCCTCTGCTGACATCCATGGATACTAGCCATGCATGTGCACGACATACATGCAGGCAAAACACTCGGACACATAAAAATTACATACACGCACATGTATGTGTGTGTGTGTGTGTGTAATAAAATTTATTTTATTTTAAATTAGACCTGTAGCCTTAATTAGGCCTGTCATCTTAATTTTCTGTTTTTCTTTTTCAACTTTCTAAGGTTTGTCTTTTTAAGAAAACTCCTTTCTGCTTCGTTTTATACCACACTGTTCTTTACTTCCTTCTGACAGAGCTCCTGATGGTGTTTTCCTTAGTGTCTTCTGTAGTATTCTCAGTCCTTGGTCATCACCATTACCCAGTCCACTGAAACCTGCCCTTCCTAGTGTAAGCATCAGCACACCTCCCATCAAAAGCTTTCAGTTACCCTGGCCATCCTGGACAAGAGGAACCCTGCACCCCACTCCCACCTCTTTCAGTGACAGATCTCACACAGTCAAGGCTAGTCTTGAAGTCACAGTGCCTTGGGGAATTTCAGCTCCTTGAATAGTCCTATGTACATGTACTAAGGATAGCCAGTTCCTCTAGGGGATTCTCGGTGACATCTTTCATTACTACACTTCTCCCTACGGCCAGGGCTTCTCAGGCAAGTGCTCTGGCCCTGAGCTTCGGCTAGGGGAGTGCGGACAAAGGGAAGGCTGGAATTACTCCTTAGTCATTTTCAATTGCTTATCTACAAATGACAATGAGCCTGCAAAACTAGGGTGTTTACAAACAAGTGCCACCTACTTTGCGTGTTATACTTGGGGTTTTTGGGTACCCTCCTTTGGGCTTCTGGGTCTCCTTCAGCCATATTCACCAACCACACCATTGTTGCTGTTGAGAAAGACAAAGCTGCAGGTGAATTTTCAAACCCAGGACACTGCTCTAGCAAGCAAGAGGCCATTACTTCTCTCCAGAAAACACTGGGCTTTGTGTAGAAGTAACTGAGGATTAAAACGATAGAAGACTGCAGGTTAAGAAACAAACATAAAACTGAATGTATTTAGGCTGGAGGATGGCTTAGGGGTTAAGAACCATGAATATATTGGCTGCTCTTGCAGAGGACCTGGGTTTGATTTCCAGCACCCACATGGTGACTCAGAGCCATCCATAAATCCAGTTCCAGGGATGCAGCGCTCTCTTCTGACTTCTGCCCTCCGTGGCACCTCACATGCACTAACCCAGCACCCAGCACCACTCCAGTGTACTTACAGGAATAGATAAGAGCTGGAAACAGAGTCTCGTTTCTCTCCTGAGCTGTTTCAACCAGCATACGGAGTGGACCTTTGGGACATAAAACAGCCACCAAATCTAGAAAGAGGAAAATTAAAAAAGATACCCAATAAAATATGCTGACTAAACTGTGTGAATGGGCACATGCAGGGGAGGACTTACCTGAGGGAACAGGTTTAATATAGATATATATTTTTTAAATGTTGGGTAAATATAAAAATATTTTCAGTTAAGCAACTAAGAGAAAAAGCAACCTAAACAAAATAAAACAGAAGCCACAGAAGACCTGTGTAAATTACACTCTGGCCTCAGCGCTGCGTGCTCAATCTAGGGTATATGATTACTGGGGTCTAGACACGACTCTTCTTAGCCTGAAGGAAAGAGGCAGAGACAGCAAGACAGAACTATTCTAGAGTAGGTCTTGCTCTGGAACAAGCAGAAATGGGAGGGAGCTATTTTTAAAAAATTCACCTATAAATTACAAATAGACACTTTATTCCAAATACCAAACTTTTCATAATGCCAAGGGCAGAGTGGAGGAGAGTGTCCTGTCTTTGCAGACAGTGCAGAATGCAGTGTGCTGCTCTGGCACGCTTGCACAGCACATGAAGCCTGCACTCAGTCCCTAGCACCACAGAGCAAGTACACAGAATTAAGGAGTTTGCAGTAAGAGAGCAACAAATTTAAGTGATAGCTCTGTACATGACAAAGTTAAATAATTCTTCAGTTTCCAGGCAAATAAAGTACTTCACAAATATTCAGGTCTCAGAACATCTGGTGGTGCTAAAAACTGACCTCAAAGAACCAGTGTCTGGTTCTAACCTCACTATCTCCCATAAACTACAATTTCTCTTTCATTTTCTATGTTATAGAAATGCAAAAAAATAACCTTAAATATTTAAAAAATATCAACAGGTATAGCTAAAACAGTAAAGGGAGACTTAGCAGCTGAGGTCACTTCATCCAGGCCTTCAGACGGTCACTCTCCCAGAACAGTAATAACAGCACAGCAGAACACTCTTCTACACACACATTTATATGTTCAAGGGAGAAAAGCAAGATTTCCTGTCCTTGGAACTAATGAGGTCTTCAGCTGCCTTAAAGCTGCCACAGCCTGTAACTATTGTGGTTCTATGACATGTTTCCCCTTACAGAATCTTGAAATGAATAGATTCGGTTATTTTTAGGGCAATTAAAATGAATGAAAATTAATTTACTTAAAAGGTTTCAGATCACTTCTGACAAAACATCTTGAGACGTTGTAAGGAACAGGTTGAGAATCACTATGTAAACACTGGGTGCCCAGTTCGTCCATACTCAGAAGACCTGAGGCTCGGAGGTCTCCCCTGTGCTGTGAGCAGAGGCTGGGGGTCATGGAGCGAGTAACACAAGCTTAGAATTCAGACTCTAGGTCAAGCCACATGCAAGTGACCAGGCAAATAGTTTACCTCTGTAACCGTTAAGCTTCTTAGCAACAACAACAAAATAAATCTAAGATAGCTACCTCACTGATTCCACAGGGTGGTATTTTAAATTACATTATTCATTGTGCTTGCTTGCACAAGAGTATGTGTATGTGTAACTTGTAGGAATTGGTTCTATCCTATCACCTTGTGGCTCCTGGGGTTCCTCAGGTTGTCAGGCTTGGTAGTGAGTCCTTTACTGGCTCAGCCATCCCGCTAGCTCACAACGGCATTGCTAATCTCAGTTATGCAGGGATAAATGGTAGATTTACAAAACATCAAGAGGATGAAGTTACCATGAAGGTGAGGCGTGAAGTGTGACTTTCCTAACCCTGACTAGTTGCTCAAGGGCACAACAGAACTGGCTCAGTTCTAGTCCCACAGATCTGACAGCGGATCTCTTTTTGGCTTTCGTGTGAGACAAGAGGTGGAGGATAAAGCCAGGCCCTGTTACCACGGCTAGAGTATTATTGTGACTCTTCAGGACCCACGGCACAGTAGCTCTTAAAAAGTATGCTTAAATTTTTTTTTAATTTATTTTTTTGTTGTTGTTTTGTTTTATTCCAGACGACTTCTCTGTGTAGCCCTGGAACTTGCTCTGTAGACCAGGCAGGCCTTGAACTCATGGAGATCCACCTGCCTCTGCTTTCCAAGTGCTGGAATTAAAGGCATGTGCTATCATTGCCCAGCTGAAATAATAGGTTTTTACTGAGGACCTTTACACCAGTTACGGACTCTATCCATAGGTCTTTCTGTAGATTTAACTTTAAAGACAGTAGACAAACAGGTGCTGGGCTTATTTTACAAAAGTAAACCTCATTCTCAGAGAGGCTCTCAAAACATAGCCCGAGCTGAACTTTTAATTCTTCTGCCTTAATCTGTTATCCCAGGTGTTGGGATTACGGGGGACATTACTACCCTACGTAGTTTACTACTTATTTAATTATTATTATTATTATTTTTGAAAAAGGATTTAGAGTGGTCCAGGCTGGTCTGAAACTTACTATATTAGCCATGGAGAACCTTGAAATTCCTGGTCCTCCTGCCTCTACCTCCCAAGTGCTGAGATCACGGTGTGCACACAGGGCAGGACAAAGTTAATCTTTAAACAGGTGATTCCACTGAAGTTGCTGTATGATTTTGATCTTAAAAATGAATTGAGAAACTATGACACCCTTCTCTGTCCTCTGCAGGCACAGGAGTGCATGTAGTGAACTAACAGGCTGTTAGTGTGCATGTAACACACTAACAGGCAAAACACACTACACATAAAGTAAAACTCTCAAAGGAGAAAATGAATTGAGTGCAGTGAGATGGCCCAGTAATGGGGTGGGCAACCAGGCCACCCTTCTGAGTTCATTCGGTCCCCAGGACCCTTGAGGGAGGAGAGCACCCATTGCTGAAGCAGTCCTCTGACCTCTATACTTAGCCAGGACATAAGCCCTTCCCCCAAAATAGAATACAGTTTCAAAACTGAGCTGAACAGTGCTGCTAGCACATCTCAGTATATACCAACTCACTGAACTCTTACAAGCCTGGAGATTTGAGATGTGTTCCCAACTTACAAGGACATCAAAACTCAGGGAAACTGCTGTTGGCGACTGGTGGCGGCTGTTGGCTTTGCTGCTGTGTTTACTGGGGTCTGGGGACTAAAGCCAGGAACTCCCATATGAGTTCTGAATCTAAGTCCTCTTAGCAGCCAACTACGGTTCCTCCCATCAGCCCGGCTCAGAGTCCTAACGACCACTTGACAAATCCTCACTCTCAGGGCTGGGTGGGGCTCTAGCACCAACTAGTTGCAGGTACAATCCTTAGCCCTGTAACAGGAAAAACCACTGAAGACTATGGGAGACAACCATTAAGAGTTTCCTTAAAGCCGGGCGGTGGTGGCGCACGCCTTTAATCCCAGCACTTGGGAGGCAGAGGCAGGTGGATTTCTGAGTTCGAGGTCAGCCTGGTCTATAGAATGAGTTCCAGGACAGCCAGAGCTACACAGAGAAACCCTGTCTCAAAAAACAAAAACAAACAAAGAGTTTCCTTAAATCAAGAGAACTAGAAGAGGAAGGAAAACACACCAGTGAGTATTTCTGTGATGAACAAAGTGTCAGTCTTGAGTTTTACCATATACTGAAATCACGGCCAAGATGAGCCACGCGGTCCACTCAGGGAGGTACTTGATAAATACCAGGGCCATGAGGGCACTGATCATAATGAGATACGCCTGCTGCAGTCGGAGTGGGCCTTTCCAGTGAATGGCAATCATGCCGACCACACCAAAATTCCAGATCAGGAGTGCAACTGTAATGTAATCCACGGCAACATTGTAGGTCTTAAATACTTCCCTGAAATCAATCAAACAAGGATTTGAAGTCACTTATGGGCAATAACTCTCATGAACACATTGCTTAGAACGAAGATTCTGAAATATTAACTATTCACATCCCATGTTTGCTTTTACTATGACCTATGCTGTACTGTTATTCATGTAGCACCTTGTTCTTAAATATCACACTTTCCTGGAGCAGTACTTATTTTAACAGGTACTATATTATTCACATAAATGAACACATACTATCACAGGTCACACCTGTGAAAATAAAAACAAAAACTAAAAAAAAGAAAATCATATCACCTATACTATCATACTGCATTTTATGAAATTCTAACATATCTGAAATTAGAAAAAAATTAACCATTAATTTTCACAGTGAAAACATAAATGATATTATTTTCATAATAACATTATAATACTATAATATCATTAGGTGCTGATGAGAACAGTGTCTAAGAATACAGCAGATTTATCCATTCATCTCTAAAAGGATGACTAGGCTTGCCTTTATTCTTATAAAATGACTTTATTCTTTCATGTGGGACAGGAGTTAGAGGATAAAGTCAGGTTCTGTTACCACAGCTAGAGTATTATTGTGACTCTTCAGGACTCACGGCACAGTAGCTCTTTTAAAAGTATGCTTAAATTTTTTTAATTTATTTTTTTGTTGTTTTGTTTTATTCCCGACGGTTTCTCTGTGTAGCCCTGGAACTTGCTCTGTAGACCAGGCAGGCCTCAAACTCATGGAGATCCACCTGCCTCTGCTTTCCAAATGCTGGGATTAAAGGCATGTGTCTTTAATCTGTGTAAAGCTGGGATGGAAGTCAAGGCCTCATGTGTACTGAGCGTGCACTCCACCATTGACTGTATGCTCCTAGCCCGCTGCTTGGCACTGTGTGGGGCATATGTGGGTGAGTTTACCTATAAAGCACATGGGTAAGCCATAAGTTGACATTTACCTCATTGTTTGACAACGTCTCTCACGGAACTTGATGCTTGCTGTTGTGGCTAGCTTGCCTAGCCAGCAAGCCCTGGGATCGGTCTATCTCTGTCTCCCATTGCTAGGGTTACAGGAAATTGCCCTGCACTGGCCTGGTTGCTATGTGGGTTCTAGCATCCAAACTCAGGTCCTCGTGCTCGACTAGCCAGTGCTGACATCTTAGGCACCTCCCCAGACCCCGGTTAGCTTTGCTAGATGAAGACAACTATTTCAGTTTCTGGAGAACAAAGTCTATCATCTAAGCGATTGTAACTATGGTAGACATCCCAAGTAGCAAAAGAGAATGAATATATTTAAGGCACAAACTGTGGGCCATGGGGCAGCCTAGGAAGATGATTTTTCTTCTATTTTGAAATTCTAAAATAAAGCAAAATGTTGAATGAGGTTGCAATGTATATTATACTAAGAATTTCAGGTATTCTAAAATGAAACTAACCTTAACTCTTAGCTAGGTATGTATATATTTATATAAAGGTGTGTAACAAGTCTCCCTCCCCTTTGCCGAATAGTTCTCCTCTCCAGGGAAAACCCTGCTGACACCCACAAGTTGTTCTCTGACTACCACATGTATACTGTGGCATGTGGTCCCCTGCTATATACATATATATATTTGAATGTATATCACCTGTCTACTTGGCCAGCAAGATGGCCCAGTGGGTAAATAGCACTTGCCAGGCAAGTTTGAATACCTAAGTTTAATCCATAGAACCCAGGGTGGAAAGAGAAAATAGACACCTGAATATTGTCCTCTGACCTTCATATGGGGGCCTGCACTCATATACATACAAATAATAATAAATAAAAAAGACAGTATCTCTACCAACACTAACTCATCTTCTATGTACCTGTTAAGATACAGCATGCAGAAAAATGATCACTATGAGAATAATTCATCAGCAAGGTACACGGCTCTAACGGCAGTGGTGGGTGTCAGGGTTTATGGAGAGAGAGACCTCTATTACTTACCCTAAGTAAATGAATGAAAAAAAGAACAGCAACAACAGAGATGAAACAATAAGCCAGGCATGGATGACCTAGAAGAGAGACAACTCAAATATAACCAACAGACTCCATAGTTCCTAAACAAGGAAACTCTTAACATGAGGAACTTTGTAGTGACGGGGTGGACCAGTGGCCCTACACATGCTGGCAACTGCTAGATTTCTGGGTTCTAGGCCATGCTCATAGTCTACTTTTTCTTTTTCCAGACAGGGTTTCTCTGGGTAGCTTTGGCTGTCCTGGAACTCATTCTGTAGACCAACGTGGCCTTGAACTCAGAGATCTGCCTGCCTCTGCCTCCTGAGTTCTGGGATTAAAAGCGTGCACCACCACTGAACGGCTTCCATGTTCTCCTTTTAAATGTCAGAACAAATGTGGCTTTGGGATCACTGCATACTTATATGACAATTTCAGGTGCAGTCAGGGTATAAAACAGAAACATGAAGACATATATACACATTTAGAAAGAGTTAACTTTTTTTTAAAGTTTTGTTTATAATAAACAAAAGACATCACTTGGCATTCATTTGCCAAAAAAAAAAAAAAAAGATATCAGTAAAGATAATTTATATTATTTACTCTGGCCTGTAACTGGAAAGAAAAAAATGTGGACAAAAAGAGCAATAAATGGGGCTGGGAAGATGGCTCAGTAGTTAAGAGCATGTGTTGTTCTTTTGAACCCGAGTTAGGCTTCCAGTACCCACACTCAACAGTTTCTCAGGAGATGTGAAACTTGTGGTCTCGATGGGAACCTGCACGTTCTGACTTACCATGTTTGTTCCAGTCTTTATATTGTAATTTGCCTGTAATAAGAGTATAAAGCTTTCTAGTTCAGACTGGTCACCTATGACTGTCAAAACTTTTCCCGATGACGAAGGACATCCCTGCTCTAGACAATCACTCGCAAGCAAGCCCTCTCTTCTCAAGTCCCTAGCTTAGCAGCTCCCACAACCCTCCAAAGGCCTGAAAGTCAGGAGCTCTGCTCCCAGCAGTGAGCATTCTCTAAACCTGCGCTATCCATGCTAGAAATCTTACGACTTTAAACTTACAGATTATCGGTCACAAATGCACCACAATCAACTGCCTCTTCTGTGTCTATCCCTGTAAAGGCCCCCACCCTGTTCTAGCACTGTACAATCAAACACTGCGAGAAGAAATCCTCAGAGTTTATTTGCAAACAGGTCCAAGCAAGCTGCTTCTGAATGTCTGGCTCAAAAGCTCGCTCTACTTCATGCTGGAAGTCAAAGTAAACAACAGTCTTGCATGGAATTGGCTATGCTTCCTAAGACTCATTAAAGAACAACACAAAATAGCACAGATGAACGAGGGTGGAAATAGAGTTGGGTACTAACATTCCTGATGTTTTCAAATTCAGCATAATTAAAAGATGTACAGATCTGACCCAAATGTTAAGGTTGGATCTAGCTGACAGAATTAAGCACATTCCATGGTCGCTCCTCTGTATGCAGCCGCACCTGGAAGAACTCAGACCTCAGCTGGCGGCATACTAAGAGAGGAGGCGGGAGCTAGGAAGGTGCGTTAGTGTTGCTTCAGTAGCCTTTAATCCTTCCTTCCGTTCTGCTCACTTCCACACAAGGCCTGCCAGAGCTGGCACTAGAGAGACCCACTAGTTTCTTCTCCCTTTCCCTATCCTCCTAAGCCCAGCCACCAGCCATCCTCAGTCGTAGGAAAGACGTGGCTGGAGCCCTGCACTTAGGGAGATCAGAACCTTCACTCTGACGGGAGCCATAGTGTGCATCAGGGTATGAGATGAGTTAGCTCTCTGACTTCCCAGGTTTTGGTCCTGGCACCAAGAAACAGTTTCAGTGTCTGACTGGGAGAACAAAAACAGAAAGGCCCCAAGAAAACAGAAATCATATCTGGAAGGCATTCATGAGCTCACCAGTCTATCTCCCAGGAAGCACATGTGGCCATGACTCTTTTTCTGTTTTAAAAAATTATTTTATGTGTATGGGTGTTTTGCTTACATGTATATTTATTTATGCACCGTGTGTGTGTGTGTGTGTGTGTGTGTGTCTGTCTGTCTGTCTGTGGCAGAGGCCAGAAGATGATGTCAAATCCCTGTCTATCTGTCTGTCTGTCAGTAGCAGAGGCCAGAAGAGAGTGTCAAATTTCCCTAAACTGTAGCTACAGATGGTTGTGAGCCTCCATGTGAGCATTGGGACTTGAATTCAGGTTCTCTGGAAGAACAGCCAGTGCTCTTAACTGCTGAGCCATCTCTCCAGCCTCTTGTTTTCTAGACAGAGTTTCACTATGAAACTCCCTGGCCTGAACTCTATGTAAGTTGGGCTAACACACATGCACACATGGACAGAAATAGTAATAAATAAAATACTTGAATTTTAAAAACTGCAAACAAAATGCCCACGATACAACCTAAATTACTCAGCATATAAATATTAGAAAAACCTGTTTGCATGAAAAAAAATTCAATAAACACAAACAGCAAGATAACATGTGTGTTACAACTCTTAGTTGTTAGTTAAGAAAAGAGGCAGGAGGGAACACCATTTCCCAGGGCAGTCTATGAGTTCAGCATTAACTTTATAACAAAAACAAAAATATATTTAAAAAACCCAATCAAACAAAAACCCCACTGCGTCAACACACACATCCCACTCACACGTGCACCCTAACCACTGGTAACACAAAAAGTCAAAGCAGCAGTTGGTGCCTGGGGTAGGAAGGCAAGCCGGGGTTAGAAGGGCACAGCAGCTGTAGAGAAGACAAGGGTGAGAGGCGCCGAGACCCCACTCTGCCAGCCTGTCAGCAGTGCCTGTCAGTGAGGGCAGCTATGCACACATGCAAGTACCACTGACAAGCACCCTGCAGTCCACAACAGTAGACAGATTGCTTTTGCTAACCCTGAAAATGCTGAACTAAAATGAACCATCTCTCTGTATTTATAAAAATATAGTGGACAGAGTCTCTAAAGTTTTCTTTCTATGTTGGGAGCAGAGAAAAGACAGAGAGAGAAAAGTTTGCCTGCTAGGCAGAGTCAAGGCAGGTCAGGGTCTGTTGGCAGAGTTCCCGGCTGCCGAGGCATGGAACAATTAGGAGGTGCACTTGAGGCTCAAGGCGAGGGAATGAAGATCCTATTGACCTTGGTGGAAGGAGCAGGGAGATTTTTGGATGGGAATAGATGTCTTATGTGAGACTTCAGCAATTGTTTCTGTTAGCTTGTGGCTTTGCTTTTCCACAGTACTGCGGTATAAGAAGGCTATGAGAAGTACACTCATGGCTAGCATGGGCCTGACCTGCAGTCCACTCAGTACCTGTCTCTCACATCTTCTTTCTGTCTTTCCTTTCATCATCCTCACTACCCCCTCAGAGGCCCGTCTGACTTCATACGAGTCACCCTGTACCTTTCTAGAAGACATTAACCTTAATACTTGAATACAATCTCAAATACAGTTAGAAGAGACAAAGAAAAGGAAAAATTCTCCAAAGCCCTCTTCTCCCTAAAAAGAGAACGTAAAGGAAAGCAGAGGTCTGACCAGGTGACATGAGAGTCACGGAGGGCTTGGCACATGCCAATATCAACAGCTCACTTGCATGCAAAGTGACTCTAATAAAATTTCCAAAGCTATAAACTCAAAGTGAGCAGAAATCACTCTCTCAATGTACAAATCATCATGAGTAAGAGCCAATAGAACTGTTCTTCCCCAAAATTTCAGATATTATGAGTATGTGTAAAGACAGGAAAGTAATAGAAAGAAATTAAAAATGGACAAAAAGACTACATCCAAAATGATCTACTATCTTTAAAACAGACAAATATAAATTCCAGAAATGAAAAATATAACTTCTAGATTTTAAGGAACAGTATTGACAAACCACATAAGATGGAAAGAAGTCGAAAATACACCACTAAGTTAGGATAGAGGGTGGTGGGAAGGAGCATTAAAACTTTCATAAAACAGGAGAGGCATGGCAGAGCACTGCGTTTAGTCCATGACAGTCTGAGGCTAGCCTGGTCTACACTGTGAGCTCTAGGACAGGCAGAATACACAGTGAGGTTCTAACTCCAAACAAACAAACAAACAAACAAACAACAATAAAAAAACCAAGACACCAGAGTACTTTTGTTTTTATAGTATGTGAAATCAAGCTAAAGGAGTAGAAAGGGCTGGCCTGGGACTACTAGCCTGGAGGAACTTGTGAAATAAGTGACTAGTAAGAAAGAAGGCAACGGATGGACAGGAACAACATTCAAAGCTAACAAAGTGGGCCCTGCACACATGTGCAGCTCGGTCATGTGGTTCCATCAACAAAGGGAGCAGGGATGTCCCAAAGCTGTTGTCCGTCTGTGGAGTATGTTCCTTTAACTGGGCTGCACTGTGTGGCCTCCGTGGGAGAGGATGCACCTAGCCCTGCAGAGACTTGATGTGATACAGTGAGGGATACCCAGTAGGGGCCTCCACCCTCTCAGAGGAAAGGGAGGGGACTGGGTGGGGGGAGGGTAGGGACCAGCAATTAGGATGTAAAGTGAATTAAATAAATAAGTAAATAAATGAAGTTTAAAAACAAAGTTAGCAAGCAGACCCATTGAGGATAAGGGGATGGAGGATATGTGTTTGCAGATATCAAAGCAGAATTAAGAAATCAACCAACAAACCATGAGTCCAATAAGCAACGACTTCTAGGCTGAAAGCATTGAATCAAAGTTGTATTCAGGATAGCACAGTGGCTTAAATGGTAAAGGCACTTGCTGCCGGCATGACAACTGAGTCGGGTCCTCTTGGATGGCATTTATTCTCCTCTGATCTGACACATTTCCTTTAAAAGGTGGGAGCTGATCAATCACAAATGAAATCAAAGGCTGCATATCTGAGAGAACAGAAACTCACAAGATTCCTGAGGGCCACTCCAAAACAACATATGAAGGAGCAAACAACTGCTTGGGGCGGAGATTCCGACAGCCCATGTGGAGAAAGGTCTCTGGGGAGCGGCCCACAGGTGTGCAGGGAGCTCCAGGTGGTAGCTCTCTGGACCGCCGCCCCGCCTGTGTGGAGTGGCCTTTGCAGTGACAGAGCTGCTTCTGTCATCCCTGCTCCCTGTAAGCAACTCCTCAGTATAAGCATCCTCTTGTTAGTAACCCCAAGGAAAACCTCACTTGTTCGCTAATTGGACATTGGGTTAATTGTCACTTTGGTATGGCATGGGTTCCCTTTCTGGGGTGAGCATATGTGTGTGTTACAGGAAAAGTCTATCACACAACATGGAAGGAGAGAAATGACTCCTGCAAACTGACCTTTGACTTCTACATACCAGCTACGGCACATACATATCTGCACATACATATACATAGACATATAGACATACACTATATAAACTTAATTTTAAAAAATTTAAAGTTGGGCTGGAGAGATGGCTCAGTGGTTAAGAGTACACTGATTGCTCTTCCAGAGGTCCTGAGTTCAATTCTCAGCAACCACATGGTGGCTGATAACCATCTGTAATGAGATCTGATGCTGTTTTGTGGTGTGTCTGAAGACAGTGACAATATATCCACATACATGAAATAAACAAATGAATCTTAAAAAAAGAGAGAAAGAAAAAAAAACTTAAAGTTATATCTGAGGGTACAAAATTAATCCTGAGAGTAAATGATTTTGTCTTTTGCCTTATGTGTATGCACAGTTTCCCTGTGTGTCTATATGTGCACAGTAAGTGCGTCTGTGCTTGGCTCCCTAGGAGCCAGGAGAGGTTGTCGGGTCTCCTGGAAACAGAGTTGGGGATGACTACGAGCCAAGCCGTGGGAGTAGGAAACGGAATTCATCAGTTTCGTGTCCTCTGCAGCAGCAGCCAGAGCTCCTGCTGATAAACCACTTCTCCAGCACTAAATATGGTTCTCTAAGAAACAAAGCCTGGAACTTGGTTTGTGAGCCCGAGGGGAAACTGCAAAGGAGGAAAGGAACAAAGGTCAGAAAGCACATGAACAAGCCAATGGCAAGAGAGTCCAGAAAAAGTAAGTTCTAAAAAGGCAGCAGATATAACTAGGGAAATACTGTCGGGCTGGATAAACAGTTTCCATGAGGTACAGAAAGAGTAGGCATAGTTTTTAGGAATTGAGGACCAGGTTTGAGAGGATTTTTACATAATGGCCATGAGTCAATCAAGACCAAATTCTGGATCAAATTCCCAAACTGATTCATTAGCTTCTGACCTACAGCAACTGTGACCCTGGCCCCATGCCTCAGGGGGTGTGCACTTAGGCACTGCTCTGAGATGCTAAATGAAACATGGCATGTGCACATATACCATACAGTTGGCTTATTGTCATCACAGATCAGAGCATGAAAAACTGAAACCAGAGGCAAGCAGAGGTAGTTTATAGGTGGTGGCTTCTTTTCTACAGATGAAAACGTAAAAGTATACAGAAACCAAGCAACTTCCCAAGAGTCCTAGGAAAACACTCTCAGGAAACTCAGTGCAGAGTCCACAGCCCTATACGTAGTACACAGGCAATTCTGAAAAAGAAAAGCAGGAAATCTGGAAGTGGGGGAGATAAACATGGGAGAAGGCAGAATTCCACCTGCAATAAACTCTGAAAAGAAGGCAAAAAACCAAGCCTAGCCCATAATCAGGCAAGCTCCAGAATATTCACTAAAGTCAAGAACGGGGCTGGGAGGTAACACTTGGCAAGCAGACAACAGTGAGAAGTGCAGAAAAAAACACTGCTGAACACATTATTTGCCAGGTGGTGGGGCACAGATCTTTAACTAAAGCGCTGGGGAGACAGAGGCAGGTGGATCTTTTGGGTTCAAGGCCAGCCTGGTCTACAGAGTAAGTTTGAGGTCAGCCAGGGCTACACAGAGAAACCCTGTCTCAAAACAAAACAAAACAAAACAAAACAAAACAAAACAAAACAAACAAACCCACAGAAAAATCTAGGAGGAATCAATGAAGACTGCAATACAGAGAGTTAACATTTGCTATTACTGAGGATGACTTGTACGATTGGATGATTTTCTGAGGTTTCCGTATGAAGCATGTGCTGGGTAGCTGAGATCCAGGAGGCAGTCGCTTACTGAGAGGGAGGGGAGCGTGTGTGGGTGGGAGGGAGAGCTGGGAGGCTGGGCCTGCATCTTTGCTTCAACTTCTCCCTGTGCCCAGTGGCTAAGGCAAGAAGCAGTGCTGCTCCAAGAGACCACAGAAGTGATGCTCAAAGTTCTCCAGTGAGGTGGCCAGTCACTAATTCGTTCAGCAGCAGCATCTGACGGCGGCTTTATGGGCCACTTAAATCCTGTAGCACTATTTGTTACTGACGATATACACAAAGGTCTTTGGAATGCCACAGGCACACTATAAATCAAACTACTGAAAACACATGACCTTACATGAAAACACCTGTTTCCCATGTGTGTCTTCTGGTACTTTCAACATGCTCCAGAATGAAAGGAAAAATAACTTACATCCAAAATATAAGACACTTTCTTCTTTGCTAGACCAAGTCAAGAATATAACAAGAAGGCTGTGAAGTGGCTCAGAATGTGAAGCTTGCAAGCTTGAAGACTTGATATCTACTAGGACCCAAGCAAAGATGGAAGGAGAAAATCCATTCCACAAGGTTGTCCTATCAACTGCACATGTACACTCTGGCAAGCACAGGCCTGCACACACAATCATTCTCATATTCTGTCTCTCTCTCTCTCTCTCTCTCTCTCTCTCTCTCTCTCTCTCACACACACACACACACACACACACACACACACACACACACACACTCTTTCCCTCTCACACACATAATAACAGCAATCAATAACAGGTCTGAGCAGACAGCAGCGCTGCCCCGTGCTCACCTTGTAGCACCTGTATTTATACAGAACCACCAGGAGGATGGTCATAACAACAATGACACTGATCATGATGGCAGCATTCAGGATCGAGTGCAGGGCTCTTTGGCCTACAGTCTCAGTGTCTTCTGTGAATGGGGTGTAGATTCTAAAGAGGGAAACAGAACACAAGAATGTTAATGCGTATGTCAAACCACAAGCTCCTTTAAAACTGTAATTAATTGTGAGGTCTTTGGTTTACTGAGTCTTTTAGAATGTACCTTTTGCAGCTCAACTAGGAATTTTTTATTAAGTTGGTTAGTTTTTGAGACAGTATCTAGTAAGTAACCCCAAGCTATCTTGGAACTCACCATGTAGCCTAGGCAGTACTTGATCATGTGATCTGCCTGCCATTGTATTCCAAGTGTGGAGATTACATGTAGCCTAGGATGTACTTGAACATGTGACCTGCCTGCCATTGCATTCCAAGTGTGGTGATTATAGGTCTGTACCACCCTAGCTCTAGGCAATAATTTTTAAAAATGTAAACACATATACTTTTATTTTAAATTGTGTGTTTGTGTGTGTGTGTATACACGTACACGCACGCACTGGGTGCATGTGTACAGATGTCCATGAAGGACAGAGGTACCCAATCCCTGGAGCTGGAACTAACCTGGAGTGGTTATGAGCTGCCTGATGTGGGTGTCATGGATCACTCAGTACATCCGCAAGAGTGTGCACCCTCTTAACTGATCAGCCATTTCTCCAACCCTCTAGCTAATAATTTTTAACTTAAGAAAAACAGCAGCCGGGCAGTGGTGGCGCACGCCTTTAATCCCAGCACTTGGGAGGCAGAGGCAGGCGGATTTCTGAGTTCGAGGCCAGTCTGGTCTACAGAGTGAGTTCCAGGACAGCCAGGGCTACACAGAGAAACCCTGTCTCGAAAAACCAAGAAAAAAAAAGAAGAAGAAGAAGAAGAAGAAGAAGAAGAAGAAGAAGAAGAAGAAGAAGAAGAAGAAGAAGAAGAAGGAGCTATCGTCTAAAATCCTCGGAGTAAAGGAAGTAGACAATGCCGAGGTGAACTCACAGGCAGGCACTGGCTCCATCTAGTGGATACTTTTGTACTGAAATAACGCGCTCACCCACGGTTTTCTCCATAGCTTAGTAGAATCTGTCAAATAACCGAGTTCCGGCACATTAACTACCGAGGCTGAACAACACAGTTGTTAGAGAGAGGTGCCGGGGTTTGAACAATGGTCTTTTATCTGCAGGGTGACTATGATTGGAGTTGTCTCAGTATTTCATTTATATAAAAATACCTTAATTCCAGGTGCCAAAGCTTCCAGCGCAATGACCTTACTTCTGCCCTTACAGCAGGTGTGGCCATGAGACTGTGGAATACCCAAGGAACTTCGAACAAACTATAGAGGTAGTTCCTGCAGGGAGTGCCCTCTGCTACACGATGCCAATGTCTCCTTCTCAACTCCCTCCTGCTGTTGAACGAAAGAACCCTAAAGAAACCTAGGACAGAAGCTGAAGACAGGAGCCCACATGCTTCATGAATAAAAGACCAATCTGGACTGCCTACCCCTGCACTGCTCTGTGGGAGAAAGAAAAAAGGCGTGCCATTTGAGTTTCTATAACAGAGTCATAAAACTGGGTATGGTGGCACACACCTGTAATCCTAGCTCTCTGGAGGCTGAGGCAGGATCAAAAATTTGAGACTACCAAAGACTACACAGTGAATTCCAGACTAGCCTGAGAAACAGTGAAAACAGGCTGCTACGAGAAATACTGGAAGGATCTAGTCCCAGTGGATGAAGGTAGTTGTCTTTAATGATTTAACATACAAGCCAAGATGAGGAAACAGGAGTGCCGTTGTTCTGTTGTGTAGCCCAGGCTGGCCTGGAATTTGCATACAGCACAAGATGGACTTGAGTTCCTGATTGTCCCTTCTCACTGATAAGTGCTTTGATTACAGGCATATGCCACCACGCTTGTGTCTCACTCACCACATGGTGAGCCCCGACATCCATGGTTCCTAAACCTCTAAACTTCCATGAGCCATTTGCCAAGTGCTAGGATTTCAGGCCCTGCCACCATGCCTGCTGGTAAGAATTCAAAAGGTTATAGAACTAAAACAACAACAAAACAAAAAAAGAAAAAAAAAGAAAAACAAGAACAAGAACATCAAATAAATCATCAATCCCGTAATCCTCACTGCCACTTGCTATCAGAAAAGACGGATGATCCATGGTCCATAGGCACAGAGATCTTCGAGAGGAACAACATGCTATGAGGAAAAGCCACACTGGCCTAGAGAATGAAACACTTGTACATACAGCTGCCCATCCTTTCGGGTATAGAAGCTGACTGATTTGATGGTGGCCACGACAACGACCATGCAGAGGGTCACAGGAACAAACAGCATGATGACATGCTTGGCTCCATATTTCAATGTCAGCTCTTCATCTTCCTCCTCATCTTGTTCCACCACCTGCCTTGAGTTACTCTGGGGTCGGCCATTCGATACTGGCTCAGGGTTGTCAAGTCTCTGCCTGTCGTGATGCTGCTGCCGTTCTTGGCTGTCACTCTAAAAGCACAAGAAATGCATTCAGTAAACCAGACTCTCAGCACAAGGCATTCTGTAAGACGTACATCTGGGATTCATGGTAAGAGCTCCATCAGTACTTAAGTTCTAAAAATATGAAGCAAGAAAAAACTACCTTAGAGACAGTTCTAGTGTCTAGATTATATTTACTGCTGTTCCCTGAGGAACCCAGCCCTCTCTCTTACCTGGGTCCTGGCTCACTTCACCCCCTTCTAGTCTCCTCCTAAGGCAAGCATGCTCCTCTTTGGAGGCTTGGCTTAAATACTATATATCTGTATCAATTCTTCTTCTTATGATTTATTTATTTTGTGTATGAGTGTTTTTCCTCCATGTATTTCTATGCACCACACATACACCTGGTGTCCACAGAGGCCAGAAGAGGGCATCGGATCCCCTGGAACTGGAGTTAAAGATGGTTGTAAGCTGCCATGTGGGTGCTGGGAATTGAACTTGGGCCCTCTGGAAGAGTAGGTGCTCTTAATCAACCACAGAGCCAACTCTCCAGCCCCTAACTGTTCTTTATGCAGCTACAAACTTCATAAAATCTCATCTTTTCTAATTCATGAAGTACTCCCTACCTGACTGTTGTTGTTGTTGTATTATTCTGATTTTCCTGACAAGGTTTATCATGTAGTCTGAGCTGTCCTGACAATAGTCTCACTCTGCAGACCAGGCTGGCCTCAAACTCACAGATCCACCTGTCTCTGCCTCCCAAGTGCTGGGTTCATTATTAATAATACTTTAAAATGCATATAGTGGCCGGGCGGTGGTGGCGCACACCTTTAATCCCAGCACTTGGGAGGCAGAGGCAGGCGGATTTCTAAGTTCAAGGCCAGCCTGGTCTACAGAGTGAGTTCCAGGACAGCCAGGGCTGCACAGAGAAACCCTGTCTCGGAAAAAAAAAAAAATGCATATAGTGATGTTCAAGATCTCTCTCCATATTCTTTCTCATAGTACCATGTTAGACAACAATCATTTTAAACAATTGCTTAGTTTCTTTTTTTTTTTTAAATCTCGCAGCCAGGCATGGTGGCATAAATCTTTAATCTTGATACTTGGAAGCTTACTGTAGCCTGTTTTGTAGTGTGTTTCGAGCTAACCAGAACTACATAGAGGGACCCTAACTCTAAAACAAAACAAACAAGCACTCTCCGGAACAGCACACGGGCCTTAAATAATTCCCGTGTTTCCTGTCCTCATATTCCCTCCCTCACTAAGCCTGATAAAGAATATAAATGCTAGATGGATGGACTGAATAAATTTACAATGTTTTGTAAGATCCCACTTTCCTCAGTTAAACACAAGTCTCATCCTGTTATAGTCATTCTTTTTATAAAAAACAAAAAATAAAAAAAATGTTATTGATCTTTGTGAATTTCACACCATGCACCTTAATCCCACTCATACCCCCGTCTCTCCATATTTGCCCTCCAACCTTGTAAACTCCCCTCTTGCTACGCAGTTTTACTCACAAATGTTCATTGCAATGAGTCATTGGTCTTGTTTGAGGCCAGTGCTCTGTGTGTGTGTGTGTGTGTGTGTGTGTGTGTGTGTCTGTGTCTGTGTCTGTGTCTGTGTGTCTGTCTGTCTGTCTGTCTTACTTCCTGCTCCAGCCACTATGCCTGTCTCCTGCCCTGCTTTCCTGACGTGATGGTGATAGACTCTACTACCCCTGGAAGCATGAACCCAAATAAAGTCCTCCTTCTATAATTTGCCTTGGTCATGGTATTTCATCACAGCAACAGAAAAGGCACAGTCTCACAAGTAATCAGGAGACTTCTACTGTTCCCAGATACTCTGCAGTAGCAAGACTGAAATCAGTAAGCTCTAGACTCCGAGCTGGGTGTGGCGGGGCACACCTACAATCCTCAGTATTCAGAAAGCTGAGGCAGGAAAGATGCAAGTTTGAAGGCAATATGATAAGCCCTGGTCTCAAAATAAAATTTTAAAAAGGGAATGTAGCTCAGTGATAAAGCATTCCCTACCATGAGCAAGGGCTTGGGTTTAAACCCCAGTCCCACAGAAAGGGAGGGCCCTAGAGACTCTGCTCTTTTAAAAAGTTCCTTTTAGGGACAGGTTATAAAAAACGTATTTGCCCTATCAAGGACTTGAGACTTTACTCTGTGAGCAATACAAAGTCAGAGACTAAAGCACATGTGTGCATGCACGCATACACACACACACACGCACGCACGCACGCAAGCACAGCTCAGAGTTCCAGAGATAAACTAGGTTTCTATTTTTCCAGAGAAGGAAGTGTGATCAAGTCATCAGCCAAAACTGTGACGACTGTGTCTAGCAATACAATTCTAACTAAATGATAGGTTAAAGTTAACCATCAACTAAATATAGGTGTGACTTTCCTGGCACTACAGCCCTGGCATCTGTCTGTATGAACAGTTAATTAGGCCAAGATAGATGAAGTACTCACTCCTACTCTGGATATTCTGGTTTGTAAAGAGCATGACCCACCCCGCCCTATCCTAAGCTGACAATGGTCTAGGAAAGCATAGCTTACTGTACAATGAATGGTTTTCTCTCACACAGGTCACACACACACTCACTCTTTCTCTTAGCCCTTAGTGTTTGTGTTTTCAACTTTTAGAAGGTACAACTTATTTTAAAATAAGAAAGCATGAAAAAGTGTACAACCAGTTTCTTGTTTTCTTCTTAAAGCTTAAGATCTCCTTGTTCATGACCTGCTGTCTCCTCAGACCCAGCTTCTGAGTGCTACTGATCTGAGCTAGACCCCAGAGTCCCCTCAAAACAAGGCTGTGCTTTGCTTCTGCACTCAGAGATTCTTACACACCAGAACAAAGACATCGTTTTTTGGAGGTTTTTTGTTTTGTTTTTTTTAACTTGAGACAGTCTTGCTACTCTGTCCTCCAAGATAGTCCTGAACTTATGCTCAGTCCTGTCTCAACCTTTGAAGGAGCTGGGACTATAGGTCCTGTGTCCCTGTCTCTCCATGTTTTTATTTCTTGGTTTTCTAGGTGGTCACACAGCCACTGTATAAATTCACTGTCATCTGCCTGTTCCTTAACAGTGGAAATCTAATCCGCTTCTAGTCTTTGGCCTTACAAACAAGGCTGCATTGCAAGGAAGGCCACCCGAGTCACTTAGTGACACACACTTAGCCAACACAGTCATAGAGCAAGTTCTCTGAGGAACAGCTGATGAATCGAGGTATATTTGAAATTCTACTACATTTGCCAACCTGCCCTCATTTCTGAGAGATTGCACCAGTTTAGAGTTTTGCCAGTGTAGGAAACTGTCAATTTCACCACGCCCTTGCCAAGTCATGGGAGCAAATGCCTGGATTTCTTACCAATCTGGTAGGTGAGACACAAGGTTTCAGTGTCATTTTAATTTTTACTCAACATTTAGTGCTCTTGCGTAAGACCCAGGTTTAGTTCCCAGAACTTTCATCATAGCTCAGAACTGATATAAACTCCAGTTCCAGGAGATCCAACACCCTCTTCTGACCTCCTGCATGAATGTGGTAAACATTTATTCTCACAGGTTCACACATATAAATATAAAAAAAAACTTAAAAAAAAACCCTATATTCCTCTGTTATATAACTTTGTTTCAGTTTCTAAGTACTGATTACTACACTTGCTACAGTGTGAGTAGGGGGAGGGGCTGAATGTCAGCCATTTGAGCACAGGTCACTGGGAGCCAGGAATAAAGCAGTGAAACTAGACAGACAAGGTCCTGGACTCCTGGACTACTCTGAGGCAAGGGACAAAGTGCCTTAGGGTCTTCTAAACCCTGCACCTGCCAAGAAGATTCTGGCCTGCTCAGATCCTAGGAGGAATCTGTAAGCCCTTGGAGTATCCTATTAGGACTGTTTATAGAGGCCTTGGGACATACTGGCAACCTAGACTGTGATCTACGTGGAGGACAGAGTCAGCTCCGCCCCTAAGGTGGGTAGAAAACTAAGGCCGACCATGTTTATATGGACCATTAACAGTTAAAAACCCAGGCCATTGAGGCTTGAGTTTGTTTCCCTGGTTGAAAATATTGCAAGTGTGTTGTCACATGCTGTAGCCAGGAGAATTAAGCACTGTCTGCATAAATCCACTGGAATCTCAAGCAGGCGCCCTCTGGCCTGCCTGATGTGCCTTCTTCTATTACCAATGATAATCTGTATTCTTTCACTGCAGTCAGCGGTAACAGCGAACACTATAGTTTTCTTTCAGTCTACGAGACCTTTCTAGTGAATTACAGAACCAGGAGTCGTCTAGGGGCTCCGGCCCCAAATGTCTTGTGCACTCGAGAGTACAAAACGCTGCTAAGACAGACTAAAGGACAGAAGCAAAACCAACAGGACCACACCCACAGCAAAGTGCATCAACGGAGCAAGCGGTAGAGAACAGGTAATCCACAAACCCTTAGCAACTTCTACCTGTGGAACATATCAAAACTTATCTCACACTGCTAGGAGACCCACTATCAACGCCCCCCCCCAACAAAAGACAGGCTGGGTATAGCTCAGTCTACAGTGCTTGCCCAGTTAGAGATGCAGCTCTAAAAAAGTAAACAGGAAATAACAAGCAGTTATGTAAAGAAACTATGACCCTTGTACTTTGTTATCTGGGACATAAAATTATACAACCACTAAGGAAAGCAGCATGTGTCTTCTTGAGGTGGGTGGGGTTAGCCATGGTGGCATAGCCCTGTATTCCCAACACTCAGAACATTGAGGCAGGAGGACATAAGTTTGAAGCAAACCAAGACTCTGCTCAAAATAATTAAAGATAGCATGTAATTTAGTGACCTCATTTTGAGCATATTTACTAAGTTACTAAATTGCAAAGAGGATCTCAAAGAGATGCATGCATGTACAGTCGAATTCGCAGAAGCACATTATCCTTGTAGCCAGGAGGTAGAAATCTAACAGCCCAAATGTCCACTGACAAGTGATACCAAAAAAGGCATCATAAATACGCAACAGAGTATTACTTGGCCTTAAAGAA